TGTCAGAAGCCATGTTGCAATGTTATTGGAGACTAGCTGCAGATTGAAAACAACCAGTTGATATATATATATATATATTATATATATATAATATACACCTAGAATCCGTTTGACAACTTTTTTGACAGGAAAAGGCCATATTTGGGGTAGTTGACCCTCCAAAACAGGGGTCACTCAGGTTCCAGGTATATGATGCACCCAAAAGCCAACCCGACGAAAGACGGAACTGCGCGCCCAACGCCGCACGTGGCCCAAACTGGGGATCCGTCGGAGACCGTGCGGCGCAGAGTCAGATGGAGGGGGGCGAGACGGGGGGCGACGGGGCTGGGGATGGAAGATGGAGGTGTGTGGGTGGTCGGGGCTGGGAGGGAAGATGGAGGGGAGCGAGACGGGCGGCGCGTGAAGATGGAGGGGAGCGAGGCGGGAGGCGCATGGGGACGGGATGGAGGGGAGTGAGACGGCGTGGCTTGGGTGTGGACGGGGCTGGGGAGTGCATGGGTGTGGACGCTTGCGGGGCTGATATGCTAGTTACGAGGACACGGCTGCAAAACAAGCATCATTGCAGGCTGCTCCGGGTCAGTGCGCAAGTAGAACGAAGCATGGGTGGGGGTAGTGCTGCTCTTGGGTGTCCAAAAAGTGCGCAATGCACGCGACAGACGGTCAAGTCGTGGCTGAAACGGCAGGATTGTTGCGTCGAGCACATGGTTGCACCACCAGCATCATTGCAGGCTGCTCCGGGTCAGTGCACAAGTAGAACGAAGCATGGGTGGGGGTAGTGCTGCTCCATGCTTCGCGGAAGCCCGTTGGAGGTGAGTGGAGCTGTGTTGCACCAGAACCGCGATGCTTGAAATATCATAGTTGGAGGGGGCTGATGCTTCGTATTGGCCTGCTAATTTGTGTTTGTTTATTTTCCCTGGGTTGTGCGCTTCTTTTTGCTTTTGGGTCCGCGGGCTCACCTTGTTTCAGGTCAAGGTGGCAGTGTGAACTGTGCGAAGATGACCAATGCTCCTTTGGGACTGGTCCGTGGCCAGATGCTCAGTTCCGGTCGACGAGGTCGGCCGTCAGAATCTTCAGAATCGACGAGGTCGTGGGTGGAGTCATGTCAGGTGTCGTATTACACAAAATGAGAGATGTCCCTGTGTCAACCTGCGCTGTTTTATTGGGGGCCAAGAACATGGAGAGCTGGTTTCCGGACCAGAGGTGAAACTTCCCTGCAAGGTGATTGGACATGTTCCATGAAGGTTCCAAATCTCCTTGCCACCCAATTAATCTTGTTTGAGTGTGAACCCGCTCGCGGGAGGTTGGATGCTCATCGGGCGGTCGATTGGATCGTCGGTCTGTCGGTCCGTTGGTCCTCACATTTGGAGTCGTCGGGCCCTCGTCGGGTTCGTTGGGGTCGCTTCGGCCCAGATCGAGCATGGCCATCACCTTCGAAGGGACCGGCAATTTGGAAGGTCAAAGGACACCTCATTCTGTAGGCGCACAGGATTGATATGGATTGATTGCTTTGGCCAGCCGTTGGAGGACGATCTGCGCGACATGCCGAAAACATTCCAAAACACTGACCGCAGGATCTTTCCTGCTTCAAAAACTTAAACAGTTCACCGTGGACAACAATTTGAATCATACCTCATTCTTCTGATTCTGTGAAGATTCTTCGGACAAATCCGGAAGGCCGGAAGGTGCCTGTTGCACCCCAGTTCCGGCAACCTTCATCACAATTTGGGTCATCCATCAATCCATGAGTCCTCTAGCAGCTAGCACACCCCCTCCGCCTTCAAGCCGGACAACTCAAGGTGATGGACGGAGGGTCTCAAGCATGTACAAGTATGTAATAGTTTCGTCTCTGCGTTTTTGGAGACATCCCTTGGTCAATCTGGTTGATCCATTTGGGTTTGTAATCAAGCAAGACATTTTGGCCCCAGTGGCCCCAGGTGAGGACTTCTGCCTCAATCGGCCAAACAGGCGCGGCGCGCGGGCGTTGAACTCTGTGGGTTGGATGTCCGGCCCAGTGGCTCTTGCGCTTGGCCTTTGTTCTAAGCCTTTGAGAAATACCGGTTCAAGGATCCTTTTCTGGACGTGCAGGTTTGCAAGGAAATCCAGGTGCTACTTCATCTTCCAAGGCACGAAAAGTCATCAAACTTTTTGACTACGTACAAACATGTACAAACACACAAAATTAGCAGATTGTAGCACTATGATGGAAAGTATGAGGTGATTAGCGTAAACTATTGATGATGATCCATGATGGATATCACCAAGCCCAGTGGTGGATCCTCACAATTTCAACTTCAGCAGCGGGTCAGCGGCTTTCAGCAGAGTTCAGCGGTACGCTTCCGGAGATGAAGGGAGCCTTTTGACCAAAAGATAGTCATCCTTCCAGTTTTTTGCATGTTCCTAGTGTTTCTCCATGGTGAACAATCGCACGCAGCAATACCGTTCGATCACCAATATACTTCTTTGCCTCACACATGAGCACTCTGTTTAATGTTCCTTCAACTGCCAGCAGTCTGTTGCTCTTTTGCTCCAACACAAAAAAGCAAAGACAAAGAGACCAAAAGAGAGCAATCATGGCATTCAGAATGTCAGGAGTCAGGAGTTTGTCTTTGTTTCTTCGCGGTGAGGGCAGATTTCTTCGCGGTTTGAGCGCGTAAGTCTCTCGATTTCACACCCGGACCTAGGACCTGACGGTTCCGCCCGGTTTCGTCCCTTGCCGTGCTTTAGCTTGCCAGATGACACCAGAGGCATGTGTGAGCTAGCCGCTAGCCCTGCTGTTCGCACCGCTTTGAGCCCAGGCCCAAGGTTCGAAGCCCCTGGAAAAACAAGTGTGAAAAAGGCTGCAATAGCTATAGACACAAATCTTCGTGGAAAGTGCAGCTGGTGATGCTGGCCCAAGGTCGAGGATAGCGGATAGCTACATTTTGTGGCCGCAGAGTCAACAAGAAGTGAGAGAAGGCCAGCATTCGTTGGTATATTTTTGCTAGGAAAGGAGAGCTTTGTTATTTTTCCGTTTGATTTGCTCGCAACTGCTCTCAGATTTGCCGACTCAAGACTAGATCTGCGGAACTCTGCAACGATCTCACAGATGACCAGTGTGTTCCAAGTGCTATGGCTCTCTTTGCTTGGTGCGGTGCATTGCCAATTCATCAATCATTTGTGGCGCATTGGCTGGTCCTCGGATCTTGAGAAGGTGGTGGCGATTCGCTCGACAGACATTCTCACTAGCTCCGACGGGGGTTTGTCTTGGACTGACGTCACACCTGCTTCCGGCTCCTCTCCGGTTGGTGCAGATGATGTGGCCATGTCATCGGACGGGTCAAAGGCGGTTGCTGTGGTTTGGAATGGCCACATTTGGAGCAGCTCGGATGGTGGGACGTCCTGGACGGAGGACGTCTCTTTGGGTGTCCAAGAATGGCGAGGCGTGGCGATGTCTTCCAGTGGTTCGGAGATGGCTGCGGTGGGCGACAACACAGGGATTTGGCTCACTTCGAATGGTGGCACCACCTGGTCTCAGGCCCAGACAGCTGCTTCCACAGGAATGCTAACAAGTGTAGCAATATCTTCAGATGGTTCAAAGATTGCTGCTGTGGGCGATGGTGGCTTGGCAGGTTTGATTTTTCAACCTGTTTTGGGCATCAATAGCTGTGAAAGTATCCCCTGTGTTTGCAGAGGCAAACATGCCTTCCAGAAAAGATGGCATTTTCAGGAAGATCAACCCAGCAAATAGAATCATCTCCTTCATGACTCTGGACGATGAAAGACGATCAAAGACGAGTTTCTTTTTGTTGAAACATGTTGAGACTACCAACCAGGTGGGGTTTGGACGAGTGTGGATAGTGGCGCATCTTGGACGGAGCAGACCACACTTGGAGCTGGGCTGAGTTGGACATCTGTTGCCATGTCTTCTGATGGATCAAAGATCGCTGCCGTGGCAAATGCTATCTGGGTGAGCTCAGATGGTGGCACTTCTTGGGTAGAGGACACAAGCGTTGGCTCGACCAAGAATTGGAAGGCTGTGGCCATGTCTTCCGATGGATCCAAAATGGCTGCCATTGTCGGTGGGAGTGCGGGTAGTCCATGGACAAGCTCCGATGGTGGAATCACTTGGCAGGAGGTCCCCTACTCACAATCTTGGCAAGATGTAGGTGTTTCTTCCGATGGGTCCAAGTGGAAGGCTGGTCATACTAAGGATAACAGCCTTCTCCCAGGCACCTTTGCTACCACCACCACCACGGCTGCCACCACCAGTGGAGCTGTTGGAAGTTCTGTCGGGGCGGAGACGGGCTTGGATTCCGTCACCCTTGCCATCATCATCTCCACAGCAGCAGTTGTTGCGTGCTTGTGCTGCGTGGGCATTGTCGTGCTGCGCCGCCGCTCGCAAGCTGGAGATGACGTTCAACAAGCTGTCGTGCGAGCAGCTGTTTGATTGAAAGAAATGCTCTTGAGTTGGGCAAGCCCTTTTGTGTCCAGTGGTCCAGTGGCCCCCAATCAGTGACCACCGCGTTTGGCGGTTGGATATGCTGTTCTGTTCCACATCCTTTGGGATCGAGGTTACCATTTTGTTGGGATTGGGGACCGCTGTGTGTATCCTCTGGAGCCCTAGGGTTGGGGCCGCTGAAATTTTGACATTTGAAGGTCGAGTCTATAATAGCTTGACATGTTTTTTGAAGAATTTTGATGCATTAAATGTCAGCCCGACACGTTGTGAAGCTTCAATTCTTCGACAGCCAATGTTGCTGCCACTCGCAATAAGTGCAGCTAGCCAAAAACTCAATTTATACAGATGTTGCCATCGAGCGCCGTTGCATGATTCGGACTACTTGACCGTTGGAGTGCATTGCGCTGAACCCACAGTTTGCTCAATGCACCCACGGATGTTTAAGTCAAGGTAACTGGGCTGATGGATTTGAATTGTAGATGATACACGCGCCTTTGGGTAGGCTTTCTCTCAATGTCCACCCTTGGTCAGGAAGATGAGAGGGTCCTTTTTCATTGTGTCTTGGGTGTGTTTGGTCTGCATGTTGATGGATACCGTGAGAAACATGCAACTCCAGTGTCCGAAGTGGTCATGGGCCTCTCGTTCGACAGCTGGTTCTCGGAGGAGGAAGACTCCTGTGCATCCTATGCTGAACCTCTGAATGTTCACACAACTTGTGCTGGTGCCTTTTCATTTCTACACTTTTTGTCTCAACTTAACTTTGCTTTCTGCCAGGAGAAGAATGCTGATTCAGATTGAGACAGCCTGCAGGTTCTTGCCTGCAGCTCAAGCGTAGTTGAAACGCGCCTCGATATTGTCTGCGACAAGAGGATCATCGTTTATTGCACGTTCAGAAGGACTTTGTTGGCCTGTCCCACATGAATTGTTTGAAACTCTTGGCTTTCCGCTTTTTACACAGCGCACCCAGGATTAAGACACAAGATGAGCAGCAAGTTAAAAGCAGACGTTACACACATAAACCACTAATTTCTTGCTTTTACGGTGCAAACGTCTAGTAATTCACAACAACACTTTTCCCGGTAGAAACTTTTGACTGGTAGACATCTCCTCATAGACAAAGATATATATATATAGATCATGTTCGCAGTGCTTTTTCTTTCTTGCTTGACGAGACAATGCCAAAGCTTGGTCCGAAAACACTTGTAGGTGTCGTTTGGCGTTGAAGCCGAGCTGAAGCTGAAGTTTCTAATTATTCTTTTTGCGGGCTAAGTATGGTTGCAAGGCACTGCAAGGGTTGTAAAATGTAAAGAGAAATCGTTCTTGAGTAAACATTACCTACAGGCTGCTTAGAGGTAGGGAAGGCCAAGACCCAAAGCCTTTTGGTGGTGCTTTGAGGACTTTAGATGGAACATGTGTAAACCTGCAAACCCATTTCACTCCAGCTCTTCATCCCGAACCTTGCTCGCTGAATCCAAATCATACTTGTTTCGATTTATTGCTTAGTTATTACCAGTCCTGGCTACTAAAAGGCCTTGGCCCAGCAGGCAACAGTTCCCCAAACAGTGGTTGCACTAGAGGTTCTTACGGTAGCAGTGAAGGAGAGTTAAGGCTGGGTTTGATCGGGATAATTCGCTGCTATGCCTCTCAATGTTCGAAGTGCATTTGGACTGTGCCCTCGACTGCGCTCTCGTTGTGGCGCTGTGCGCATTTTTGGACATGTTTTTAATTTTCGCTGCAGGCGCAAGGGAATCCTGGTGCTTTGGTGGTTGGAAGTCGACTTTTCGCGGCAGGTGCAGGACTGACGTTGTACTTCAACTTGCAGATATCGTGTGCTTCGGGTGTTTAGCGTGCTCTGACTTCGTGGCAGGTGCGGTGAGTCGTGAACTTTAGACAGGTAGCTTGTTTTCAGAGCTTGGGGGATGTATCGCACGAAAGCTGCGCTTTGACATCTCGAGCTTGTCCTTGGAAGTGCTCTTGTTGCGAAACGCAGTGACAGCCTGGTGGATGTGAATTTACAGCGACCTGTGAAGCACCAAATCCGGCGGCAGGCGCAGCACTTTGTAAACGAGTGTGAGCAGACTTCGTGGCAGGTGCGCCGCCGCTTCTGTGAACTTTGTGAACGCAGAAATGCAGATGTTGTGGCAGTCGCAGCGCTTCGAAGCGCAGATTTTGTGGCAAGCGCGGCGCTCTGCCACTCTGCGAACGTCTCATATGTGTGCTCTCATGTGTGCGTTCATATGAGAGCCTCTCCTGTGTTTGCTCACACGTGTGTGCTATCACATCAAAACGTGCGCTCCCAAGAGTGTGCTCTCATATGTGTGTTCTGAAATGTCCGCTTTCATTTGTGTGCTCTCAGGTCGTATGTGTGCTCTCATACCTGTGCTCTTAAGATCTCTTAAGTGCTTGCTCGCTCTCGAACGTTTGCGAACACCGGTGCCACACGCTGTCTGATGTAACTTTTGACATTGTATTTGATGAAGATAATGGAGAGGACCACAGAGCTAGAGCGTGCGAACCCGGTGTCTGATATAACGTCCAAATTGTATCTGATGGAGATAATGACAGAAGAGAAACGCTGTCTAATATAAGTTCTGTTGTATTATGTTATTGTATCAATCTATTGGAGAATATGAGAGAAGAACACCATAAAGCTAAAACGTGCGAACTCCCCGGCCCTCGCCGGGCCCCTAGAGCCCATTGGGCCTCTGACGCCGTGGGGCCTGACGTGGAGCCCATTGGGCCCGTGGAGGGGGGGCGTGAAGCCCGGGGACGTCAAACGACCATTCCTCTGTCATCCTGCGTTCTCATATATGTCATGTGTGCTCTCACGTGTTTTTGCGCATATATGCGCTCATGTATGTGCTCCAAGGTGCGGAGTTTTTTCTACTTGCACTGTTTGGGTCTGCCGGGACAGGTCTTATTGGGACCAATTTGGCAGGTGATGGGCCCACCCTCAAACAAGATCGGCGTGGATGCTTGGGTCGGTTGCGCGCAACAGATGCGGACTCCACAATTGCACTTGAACCGTTGACTGTACAGTTGAGAGACTGACCGTCGGTAAACCATGATGTTTGGTGTTCACTGTCAATAAAGTTGACTACAGATCTGGATGCTTGCTGTTTGAGCTTTGAGCATGGAGGGAGCGATCACATTCAATAGGCACCTTCAAGAAACTTGGTGACCAAGTGAGTTTGATCCTCGCCCGCGAAAGGCAGCCAGATGCACATTTCCGGTCTCGTCTCAAGCACTCTTGGAGAGGGACGCACACACAGTGACCTCGTGTGAACCTTTGTGACCCTCGCTTGCTGTGATGGTTGACTATAGCAAGTTCGACCACATTGGATCGTCAGATGAATCAGATGCAGCTCATCCTGTTTCGATTCAACAAACGTGCGATGCGATGTTTGATTCCATCCGACGAGTTGGCCCGGGTCAGCCGAAAGGCTTCTACTACCCACTTCAGGGTGGAGACATGGTGCCGTTCGATGTGAGAGATGAGATATGCCAAGATTTAGGGTACCAACATGGCGATGTTGTCGTCACGGACCACGGACATATTTCCACAGTCATTGGTGTCTTTGATGAACAGCTCTGGTTTCACGCAGAGGGAAACGACGGAGCAGATCTTTGGACGAACGAGGTGCTGAAGAAGGTTGGCCGCACAGCCGTGGAGGAACGCGCTAAAGGACCTCCAAGTTTGAACCTCAGTTGAAAGCATAGGATTTTACAAGGCGTTTGTGTTCGATCAATTCTGAGGTCGCCTTTCAGCGCCAGTATAGTGGTTGAATGCAAATTGAAAGGTTAGTTCGATGTTCCAGACAAATTTCTTAAAACGATGCGCCAGCCAGGGTTCACAAGGCCTGCCAATCCGAGAAGGAAAGCCTTGGTCATCGTAGGTCACGCTTTCAACCGAAAATGACATGAACACACCAATTGGGAGCACTTACTTCTTAAGACCTTGCATACCAGACAAAGGACTGACATTTGCGTATGGCCTTCATGGCGGCGCAAAGTGACTTTGAGATAGCCAGATTTTGCAGAGCTCTCATCTAGTTAGTCGTTCTTGGTTGCTTGTGAGACTGGAATGCTGGATTCTGTGATGAGTTCAGCCGTTGCATCCCAGGAAGTCAGATTGGTTGAGGCTGGATTTTGCGTATGCTGCAGGCCAGGGCCAGGGTGGGAAACGTGTGTTCGTCCCAAAGTGGTGGTTCGTCCCATCTTGGAGGCCTCCGAGACACTGGCCATGTTCTCAGGTCTGGAGAACCCGACGCTGGCCTACTTCGACACCAGGAAGCACCTCTGCGAGACGGTTGGGGGCTTCAAGCACGGAGATGTGATCCGGGTCGGTGCCATTTCTGCAGTGACCATCGGAGTGAAGCGCGATGGACATCGACTGTTCCTCTGGTTTCATCCACCGCATTCTCCAGGAGACTTCTTGATACATGGAGGTTGAGGCTTAGTCAGTCTGCAGGGCTTGGGCAAAAAGGCTGAATCGATCGAAGAGGATTTGAGTAGTAGTTGGCCTCCTGTTTAAGGATCACTCTCCGCTGTGGTTGTCTTCCCCTTATTCAATACCTTCTTGGCGCCATGAATAGATTTGTTTCTTCTAAGACTTTAGCTTTATGTTTCCAAAACTCTATATGGTCAATGGTAGAGCTAGCCAGTTTGTCCAAGTGTTCAACTAGCGCCGTTGAACCTTTGGGCCCGTTGATCCGCGCGTGCCTGATTGCGTTTGACCCCTGGTTCTGAAATTTTGTAGGTGCTTGGAGCTTCATGTAATGTTCCGGGTGGCACCACTGTGCCAGTTGGAAAGAGGTGGGGCTTAGAACTCCAGTTCTTAGACACCATTTTTGCGAGCTTCTTTGGGGCACCTGTGGAACTTTCTGTTCCAGGACCCTGTTTCACAACCTTCTGTGCTTTTTTGGTTCCTGCGACTTCAGCTGGGACCTTTATTTCACATCACTCACCTACTTTTCGGATGGAACTACGCATGCTGCAAAGTTGGCCCTCCCCCGCGGCCGGCTTTGAGACTCACGAAGTCTCCTGCAGGCCAACATACGAGGTGGATGCGGCTTCCGCTGATCTCCAAGAGGGTGGTTCGAAAGGGAGGGATACGCGCCCAGCCCCCCCCCCAACGGGCGCCACGTGCCCACGGAATTGATCACCGTTGAGGAGCCTTGGCGCCACCCTGGTCTGCCGCAGGTAAGTGCGATGAAGGGGGCTGGGTTGCGGGCTTGATTGAACCGAGCCCGGGTACTTGTGCATCAAACAGATCTTGGCTCATGACGGCGCCCGGCTGCCCAAACATTTGCAAGTTCCGATCCCCCTCTTCGCAAGGGCACAAAACTCTTGGGCCGATAAGGTTTCTCATCCTTCCCCGGTGGCTTTGATCCCGCTAATGGCCCCGAGTGGGCAAGATGATGCGCGAGCGTCTGATGAACTGGGTTTCAGAGTGTCTGTGGGAGTCGGCCTAAGGCCCTGGAGGTAGTGGTCACTCTTCCTGATGGTCTTGCTTTATGCATGTGAGAACCACAGCTGTCTCACTCTTGTTTTGCGACGCCCATGGAAGTCCCTTTTTCTTGGTGGAAAGGAGGCTGCCACCCAGTCTCCAGAAAGGAGCCTTTGAACACAGACCTTGTTTACCTTTTACTTTGTGTATGATGTTTCAACAAATGCAATCATAACCCTTGTCACATGCCTATGTATCTTTCGAAGACCGCAGGAGCGCGCATTTTCCAAGTTGAAGACCTACGAGGTAGTCGGGTGATTGATCGCAAGGCAGTGCGGGAGCATCCTCGGCCACATGCTGTGCCCGCCCCTGCGAACAAGAAGGCAGCAGAATGTGCGCCGATGGGAATCAAAGCTGCCCAAAGGGATAGTGATACGAACAAGGCCAAGTTGGTTGCAAAGTTGGTTGCAGAGCGTGGGGCCCGTGAGGAAGCAGAGCGGAAGCTGGGTGTGAAGAAGAGATCGACAAACCATCCAGAAAACTTATAGAAGATGTCTGTTCATGTTTGTTCCAGTCCTTGCTGCCTTTCTTGCTGGCTGCACTCGTGCGTTTGTAGCCCGACAAGAATAACATATATATATATATCTATCTATCACGAAAGCCAGCCGATAGGCAAGGCTTGAGGTAGCCATGCGAACGAAGTGAGTAAAGGGGGTGTGGGGGGGGTGGTTGCGAGAGGGGAATCTCGGAGAGGCTGACCCAGAGCCTGGTGGGGGAGAGCGAAAACAATAGTATTTTCTGGAGTGTTGTGATACAAGTGATGCAATTGACGGCGAAGAGTGCATCATCAGCATCATGAGGGGCCTCAGGCCATGTAAACTGTTTTTACTAGGGGTGGGAGTTCACGTTGATGAGAGGAAAGGGAAGACAAGGGTATGTAAAAAGTGGTTAGAACTCACCCTATACTTGAGAGCAGGAAGAGAACAGATGGCAGCTGCGGGCAAGCTTAGCGATGCTTGCGGGCGCCATTTTTTAGTTGCCATACTGGAGAGGGCACCCCCTATGCGGTGGGAGTTCACGTGGATGAGGCAGGAAGGTTTTGAGTTGCTTGGGGGCTTGTTGAGGGCAGGAGAGAGAACAGATTGCAGCGGGCAAGCGTTGGAGGCGGAAGGTTTTGGGTTGCTTAGGGGTGCCCTTTTTTATTCGAAGCCCTGTACTTTCTGTTTCTACCTCCTTTTAGGTGGCTACGATGTCAACTTCACCGCCTAAATGCATGCTTTGCCCGATGTCAGCCAATCCCTTCATCTCGCGCGCTCCAGTAGCTACAATATCCACGCCGATAACCTGGCCCCTCGACCCCCCATAACCATCTTTGCTCACTGATTGGCGCCGCGCAACAAGCTACCGCCCCTCACTTCCTTCGACAGTGCCCCTTTTTCACCTCCAAAACGAGCCCGAACCATGACGAAAAGGGCGCCCCTCCCCCCCAAACCTGTGTACTATACTTTCTGTTTCTATCTCCTTTTAGGTGGCTACGATGTCAACTTCACCACCTAAATGCATGCTTTGCCCGATGTCAGCCAATCCCTTCATCTCCGCTCCAGTAGCTACAACATTGGTTGGCGCCGCGCAACAAGCTACCACCCCTCACTTCCTTCGGGGGTTCCTTTTTTCACCTCCAAAACGAGCTTGAACCACGACAAGGGCACCCCCCCGAACCTGTGTACACCTCCTATGAGAGTGGCTGCGACGTCAACTTCACCACTTGCAGCTACTATTTCTCCATCTCTGGATTACTAGTGGGTGTTACTTGTTGATACTTCATGGTCATATTTGCCACTGGTGAACGTGCCTTCGCTCGGGGTTCTGACCTTGGCTGGAATCACCAGGAAACTTCGTGAGGCGGAGAAGGAGGTTGACAAGATGAGGAAAAAACTGGATCGCCTTCGAAGCTGTGAGTTGTTTCAGGTTGTTTTTTGTGTTTTGATTGAAACGAACCATGAAAATCCCGATTGAAAAATGAAGTTATGCTTCGATTGACAAGCAAAAGCACCGGTTTTGGGAGTTCTGTTAATTTCTGTGCAGTGGTAGGTATTGTTCCACATGTAAAGTCTTTTGTAAAGACCCGGGGGCCGGGGGCTTCAGCCTAAGCTACCGCAGCCTTTTTGTGAATCTCAAGAAAAGGGCCCAATTTCTGCTGCGCGGTTCCTCCACGCTTTGCGCATGCCCTGTAACCTTGCCAGGGCAAAGGCCCGCGAGTGCGGCCCCCCCCCCCGCTTGCTGGTTCACAGCTCCAGAGCTGGTGGCGCCATCTGCCGGCCAGTCCACCACGGCTGTGTGGGACTGCGACTGGTCGAGCTGGCAGGACAGATCCTGGACTTGGCACCGTGACTGGGACGATTGGGCCAAGTGGCCAGCGCAGGCAAGAAGAGGAGGACCTCGCCAGAGCGACCAAGTGAGTGGGGCCAGAGCAGCCGCGCTCACCGCTCACGACAAACGGTCAAGTACAAGGCCAAAAGGGTAAAGGCAAAGCCCAAGGTCAGGGAAAGGTCGCCGCCGCAGAGCGACTTGTTCCCAAGCGTCGGCTGCGGTACCACCGTGGCGCGCAATCCGGAGAAGCAAGCTCTTCGGGTTGAGCGAGGCAAGGCCTGTGGGCTTGCTGCCGCCCAGCGGTCAGCAGCTGAGGCGGAAGAGTTTGATGCAATGAAAGTTGAGGTATACTTCACCTTCTTCACCCTCTTCCACCAGCTCACCCAGTTCAGGGACTGACACACCGGAGTGCCCTGCCCCGCTGACCAAACAAGTCCCTTCAGCCCGAGCCATCCTCTGAAGAGCAGCCGTTTGCTGCCGGGAGCGGGCAGCGCCGCTCTACAGGTCGGTGAACCCGCTGTGTCAGAGGCAAGTGAGGTTGAGGAGGACATTGCCTCGATCGACCAGTTTTTTGACTGGGCAGCTGATCGCGGATCAGCAGCAGCATCAGCAGCAGCAGGTCATGCAGGAAGTGGCCGAGCTGAGGGCGGCGCTTCAGAGGGCGGCGCTTCAGAGGAGCGACGCGACGCAGCATCTCGTTACAACTCTGCGCGCAGCTCAAGCGCGTCAGACTGAGCTTGATCCTACGCTGGCAAGTCTGCGGTCAGAATTGGAACGCAAGCCGCCCCTTCATCGGACACACCAGCTATGCTAAAAGGCAATGATTTAGTGAACCAAGCAATCAAGCCGCCGCGCAACTTGAGTGAACTAGACGACGAGTGGCCCGAAAGCATTTTTCATCACGTAGGAAGTCAGAGTGCGAGTTATCCGGTAAGTGTGCAGTGAGAAGTGTGAAGTGTGGAAATGAGTCTGCGTATGTGTGTGTTCGTGTAAGTTGAGGGAGTGTGTGGGTGTCTGTGTGTGATGCGGCCTCCCAAACCCCCCACCGGCGGCCAAGCGGTGACTGCCCAGCTCATCGTCGTGAGCATTTGGGCTGCTGGTAAGGGGAGAAGCAGCGTGCACGGCGCCAGGAAAAGCTC